CATTAGCAATTAAAGAAATGCAAATGAAAACTATACTGAGATTTCATCTTACTCTAGTTAGAATGGCATTTATCAAGAATACAAACAATAATAAATGCTGGAGAGAATATGGTGGAGAAGGAACTCTTTTATACTGTTGGTGGGACTATAAATTAGTACAACCCCTATAGAAATAAGTATGGATATTCCCCAAAAGATTCGGGATGGAACCACMWTACAGCCCAGCTATATCACTCCTCAGTATTTACCCTAAAGAAATAAAGTCAACTACAGCAATACATGTGTACTCATGTTKAGAGTAGCACAATTCACAAGAACCAAACTATGGAACCAGCATAGGTGTCTATTAATGGATGAATGGATAAAGAAAAATGTGGTACATATCCACACAATGGAGTTTTATTCACCCATAAAGAAGAATGAAATTATGTCATTTGAAGGAAAATAGATGGAACTTGAGAACATTATGTTATGCAAAATAAGTCCAACTCAGAAAGTCAAGAGTCATAATGTTTTCTTTCATATATGAAAGTCAGAGAGGAAAAAGGGAAAGAGAAGTGGGAGAGAGATCTCATGAAAAATGAAGGGAGAGCAGTAGAGAAAAGTGATGGGGGAAGGAGGAGAGGAGGAAATATGAAAATAGTGGGAATGATATTGGCCAAATTATATTGTTATATTATGTGCATTTATGAATATGTAACAATGAATCCCACTTTATGTCAAATTATAAATGCACAAAAAATATGGAAATATTTTCATGAAATAATTATCATAAATTTCAGTTAAGTAAGCAAACTTAAGAAGGTTAATACTTGTTGTAAGTTACAAATTTCCAAATTCAGGGTTGATCTATAAATCAAATTTTTTAAATTCTAGAGTTATAAGATTCTAATAAATATTAGAACAGGAGAAACTATTTTACTTCAAATAGTAAAATAACATTAAAAAATTATATGTTTTAAAATTAGACTGAATATTAAATTAAGAGTTCTAAGAGTTTTATGGATTTTAGTGGTTGACCAGAGAATTCTCTGGAAATAAACAAACAAACAAAAGACCCCACATTGATGTGTATATTTGCATTTCTCCATAGTCCCATATATTTCATCAAATTCTTAAATTGGTGGGGCTGGGGTTGTGGCTGGGGTGGAGCACTCGCCTTGCACGTGAGAGACCCTGGATTCGATCCTCAGCACCACATAAAAATGAATAGACAAAATAAAGATATTGTGTCCATGTATAACTGAAAAAAAATTTTTTTAATATTTTAAAAATTCTTAAATTGGTTAATAACCTTAAAAGTTTAAAAACTACTAACTTGGTTAATATGAAATCAAAATTAAAAAAAAAAAAAACATTCAAAGCTCACCTAGTTTCTCTTGGAGCCTGGACTGACAATCTGGCCCTCTGACCACCACCAATACCCAACTTTGGGCATCTTGGTCCCAAGCAGCGWGTCTTACTTATCATTAATCCAGGATATTCATGCCTGATTACAAGTCTTGTACTTCATTTTATCCCCAGAGATYCTACAATAAGAAACAGGGAATACTCTCAGGTTCAAAAAGGACAGGTTACATTTTATTCACTCCTGTATCTACCATACCCATCGCATGGCTAGGTGACCAACAGACACTTTTGGAAAGGAAGATCTCCAGACCCACCCTTCTGTTAACTCACATGAATATTACACCACTCCTTTGAGTTTCAGTCTCCCCATTTATAAAGTAAGTTTGAAATTAGAAACTTCCTCATGAGACTGTTTCAAGGATAAAATGAATAACATGCAATTAGATTTTGTGAATCCTTCCTCATGCTACCAACATGAGGAAATGGAGAAAATGGAAAGGAGTTTTTCTGTGTGGCAACTTCTCAAATGTGCCTATTTATTATCAATATTTTGATAGCTAAAAGTAATGCCAACTTTCTCACTATGATAGTCTTCTATTCATTAAAATAAGTGATCTAAATTGCAAGCTATTTCAGGGATCTCAATAAAGATATTTTTATTTTAAATGAAAGAAAAAGCAACAACAAAACAATGTGCCCTAAGTAGTTTCCTTTTTTTCTGAATTGGTTCTGGTGCAAATATGTTTGCTCACTACTGACCTAAAGCACTCAGAAATAAATCATGACTCTTCCACAATCTTCATTCTTGACATCAAACATTTGTTTGCTTCAGCAGCTGGTATCAAAAGAACTGCTCCTAATGTAATATATGGAACTAATAGCTTCCTTATACATTAACTCTTCAGGATTTGACACTAAAACACTCTAATTTCTGTAGACAACCAAGAAAATGAAAAAGCTGGAAAAGGACACAGCCACGTGGAAAGCCCGATTTGAGAACTGTAACAAAGCCCTATTGGACATGATTGAAGAGGTGAGCAGGTTTTTCTCTTAGCTTTTATCACCTCCAACTTCGAAGATATTCATCTTAGAATATAATTATAGCTTAACAATACAAATTATTATGTTTTAATAAAGAGCTAAATTTTGGGGGGATGTAACATGTAAAACTGTAATAAAAATAATAAAGGCAAMGGTCATTTAGGAGCCAGTCCTGACTAAAAAAACAAAAACAAAAAAAGGTTTATACCTTAAGTCACACATTTATTGATTCAAAAGCTTTCCCCAGATCAGCATCATGCCTGCTAGACTGTGAGTAACTTAAAGTGGGATGAGTGTCTTATTTGCTTTTGTATTTCCCCAGTACCTGCACATAACAGGTATAGATGAATTAATTGATTTGAGAAGACAGTGAGGTTCAAGCACCCTGAATGTGCCATTTTAAACAGATATGGAGAAGTATTTTTTWAATTCCTCCAACAGGCATTTAAATCCTGATATTATGCCAGCATCTGAGCAGGTTTTTCAACTTTAAAGGTAAAAGATACATGGGCCCAGACCTGACAAGCAGAGCTTACAGRTGAAACTTTCTCCATGTTAACAATTTAAAAACCATCTTCAAGGTACAGAGTAGCTCAAAGACAGGAGTAAGGAGTTAGTTAATTAGGAACATATTCCTACAAACATGCCACCATTTCTAGAGAAAGGAAAAATTGAATAGTTTAAGCAGTCAGCTTCATGAATTAGCGTGTGGTGAGTTTCTATGGTTATATTACTGTTCTAACAATTCATCACAAATTGGAACCAATTCCAAAGATTTATGTTTATTATTCATCAACATAAATCGAATGGTTGCCAGGATTAGACTATAGCAGTTTATCTATAGAATAGACAAGACACCCCTGAGGGCGAAATCCCAATTGATCTCATTCATTTCACCACAGGCTTTGGCTTACACTTTCTAAGTCTCAAAAGCAGAAAATTTATCTATTTTAAGATTTGAGAGGCTCTGGACTACAGTAGAAACAAGGCTTGCCATCTTTCTTTCCCAAAGAACAGTCCATCGTGGTTAAAATTCTACCAGTGTCTAGCTCATAATGCAAAAAATAGTGAAGACCCTGAACTAGTGTCTGTTCAGCCATCACTCTATGGCCAGGGCCCAAGGCCTAGTGGATACTAATTCCAGGCCAAATGGGTTTGTTGTTTCCGGAGAGCCTGTGGAAATTTTGCTTTTCATGTCRTATTGTGTGTTTGTGTGTTTTCAAATCACAGAAAGCACTGAGAGCTAAGGAATATGAGTGTTTCGTGATGAAAATCGGGAGGCTGGAGAATCTCTGTCGCGCTTTACAAGAAGAGAGAAACGAACTCTATAAAAAAATCAGAGAAGCCAAAGTGCCTGAACAGGAGGACCAAAGTCAGCATAGTTCCGACGAAGAGCCAGAGGCAAATGTCTCTGTGGATCGAGAGATAGATGCAGAGGAGGCCAACAGTGTTCAAAACGCTGTGGCAAACCTGGCTGCAGCCTTCCAGGTAATTCAGCATCCGGAGTCCAGCCTCCAGCAGTCGGAAGCATTGCCCTCAGCACTGGGCGGGCCTCGGGGCAGCGGTGGCCCCGCCCCCCTGAAGCTGGAAGCGCTCCCTCAGCTCCTTCTCGGGGGTTCAACTGACCCGCGGCCTCCTCCAGTCTCTCAGGCTGAGGCCCAAGGTGGTGAGGAGGCAAAGCCTGCCCCTGAGGTCAGTAATCCCTTGACCCAGGCAGGAGCAGAACCCCGAGCTCAGAGTCTCCCCGAGGAGCCTCAGGCTGCTGAGTTGCCCCGGAAATCAGGGGTCGGAGCTTCCGGTCAGGCCTCACAGGCCGCATCCGAGGCYTCCCCGCGCGGGGTGGAAGCAGAGGGTTCCGCTCCACCACCTCCAGCCAAGGTGCAAGCTCCAGCAGGGTCGCCTGGGTGTGAGCCCAGCGAGCAGCCCCTGCCTGCAGCCTCAGAGGAGCTGGGCCCCGGGACCCCGGCCCGACTCCAGCTGCCCATGGTGGCTGACACCAACCTGGAACCAGTAAACTGAGCCTCATCGGCCCTCGGAAGCCATTCTTTCCGACCTTACATCTTCACCATATCCCACTGTCTCTGAAAGAGGCATTAAGGGTTAGAGATGGCAAACGGAGCACAGTTAGGATCAAGACATTTTAATATGCAGAACACATTCAGCCTTTGCTGTTTATTCTCAATTTATTACTGATGTGGAGCTTTTCTATTTAATACTGAGTGTTAATTTTTCCCAAATGGCAGCAAAACATACCATTAGTAAATTTATATTGTTTCCCTATTAAGATGGTACATAATTCAATTTTTTAGTGAACAGGAAGATTTGGTGTTTAAAGACTCCCACTACAAGATCTAAATATTGACAATGTGAGGTTATATTTATTTCTACGTATAGTGCAAATTCCTTAGTAATTAGTGGATGTCCAGGTTCCATTTAAACTGTGTACATAAAGTATACATATATTCATATATAAATGTGTGACTATATACATATGTGTACATATATACACATCTATATATTGTATATAAATGTATATGTTACACATGTATTTCACCCCTTACGGATTTCCCCCTATGCAAATTATGTAGATGCTAATCAAAAAATTCTCTTATTTGCACTTGGGACTACAGTAGATTCAGAACATAGATATTTAGGTCATCATTACTGTTGGTCAAAAACAACTAATCCTATGTTAGATCCATAAGTTCAACCAACTGATCAAATGACAGAATAGCGGTTGTGCAGAGTGCATTGACTCAAAGATGATCACAAGAGACCCCAACACCAAACGGAAAGAATCACAACTGTGGGTGATTCATCTCTCCCAGCTGCTTCTCCTAGAATCCTCAGCCAGCTGCCTCACCCTCCTGCAACACACACACACCAGGTGGGGAGGCAACCCTCTCCTGACTAACTGCAAGAAAAGGGTTGGAAGTGGGAAAAGGAGCTAGGAATGAGGGATGATGTTATCTCAGACTGAGGAGAGACTGCCCTGGTCCTTTTCCCCACTACTGTCTCAAGACAGAATATTCCCTTCTTGGCTGTCTCAGACCCATTGTATATTTTCAAAGCATCTGTTCCTTCCTTCTAATTCCCTCTATTGTAGCAGAAAATTCTGCCTAGCCTTCATCTCAACCAATCCTAAATGAAACTATTATTTTTCTAAGACAAAAATCCACACAGGATTTCTAAATATGAGTGATGAGGCTTAAGAGCCAATGCATTTTCTGCTTTGAAGGGTTTTCAGCAACAATGAAGTAAGAAAGAAGAAAGGGAGGGAGGAAGAAGGAAGAGAAGGAAAGGGGGAGACTTCAGGGAGGAAAGAAAGATGTCTAACCCATTCCTACCTTCAGAGTTAAACTCAAGAGGAAAAATGGATACAAACAGGATTCTCTACTACTCATCCAGGAACTCATTCTTCACTATCACATATGGCTGTTTGCCAAAGCCCACAAAGAGCTTGTAAGCTGCAGCCATATGTTACAAGAATTGTAAACTGCATAAAAAATTGTTTGAAGTAGGCAGTGAGGGTAATAACAGAAATGCTAGTCAGGGATAGAAAAATCAGGAGAAAAGCATGTTGCTATTTGAGAACCCATGTGCTTTTAAAGGCTTAGAATATTAAAACCACAGGGGTATCCAGCCAAATTCAACATTACTAGAAATTAAACATGCATTTAATTCAGAGCCAAATATTCACCATAACAATCCAGGAGGGTCTTTCCTTTCCATCTGCTTACAGAGACTGAACTTCYAAGAACAGAGTAAGATCAGATAGTTAAAGAAAAATATCAGTCTGAATGTTTAGCAAAAGAAATAGATGTGCCAAAATCATCAAATATTCTAAAACATCCTAAGTTCATTATTTTCATCCAAAAGGTTTTCATAATAACATATTACTCACTATTGTGTATATCTCAAGCAGAGTTTCAAATATAATAACTTGCTGGAAATATGTAATGCTTAATATAGGYTTTGGGAGAATTATTTTAATATTCAAAGAATGTCTTATTATAGATCTTTGTGTTAGAATTTGGTCTTACTAATCATAACAATAATTCATAAGATATGAAAGCAGAATAAATTCCTATTCTTTATTAATTTAATGTAACTATTTTTAGAAATGYRCATCTACTTTCTAGAAATGCAAGAGTCATTGGTGTTTTCTAAATTAAATTGCATAATTTATATGTGTATTAAAAATGTATTTCTCTTCCCAAATTTTCTAGTGGTGATTTTTTTAAAATTTTCATTGTTTTTTTTCTTTTATTGTTATTTCTATGTTTTGACAAAATCTCACAAAAATTATGCTTTGAACCTATTCTTGGTTGAGTTTTGGGTCTCTGAGTAAAATTCCTGAAACATTTTACTTTTGAAAACATAGGGAGGGAGAAGTGACATACTCACACATGTTGAGAGAGAGAGAGTCAAATAAACCTCTATTCTTTATAAATTATTCAGTCTCAGGTKTTTTATTATAGAAACATAAAACTAACTAAAACATTTGTTAATGAGAGAACAAAAACCAGATTCCTTTGCCTGGTCAGCCAGCTGATGGGGGAAAATTTTCAAGTGGCCAATGTGTTTTTCTTCAGAACCATTCTTCCCATGAGACCATGTTTCCACAGTTTCTCTGCCATGTGTCCTCTCAGAAATACTCTTGAAAAGAAAGGGAGAGTATAGACGTTGACTCTTTTTTCTTCTCTCTGATTCTCCTGACTGCTCCAAAATTTTTTTTCTAACAAGACCAAAAGAGACCCAGATGTTCTGCCTTTTGATTACTTTCTTCCTCTCAGCCCATATTGATCTGGAATGGACTTCCTGAGCCCAGAATTTCCTGACTGCTTTGAGRATTGGTTAGCAAGAACAAGGGTGAAGTTGAACTAGCTCTTATAGATACACATTTTTTAATAGCCCCCCCCCCTGTTTTATGTGTTTATTGCAAAACTGCTTTTCAATAAGACTAACAAGGAAAAGAAAAGAGATTACTTCAGAAAAATCTACTCAACCCTTTCCTTTGTAACCAGTAGTTAATCATAGTATTTAGGAAAAACAAAATAAAGTATAAAAAATTTTGTGAAGGAAGATCCAAAATAAGAATTATGCCTCTGGCCTTTAAAGTTTGTTCCCATAATAAAATGGCAAGGTGTAGCGAGCCATCCATGGGCTGTGTGTGTGAGCATTTGAGCGGTATGGGGGGACTGGCCTGATGTTGCTGCCTGATTGGGCTATTCAATGTATGTGTGCCTTTTCTCTTACTCTGCCTGTGTTTCCACACAGCACCTGAGATGGGTGTGGCTTTCCAAGATGTCAAGCAACCTGCTGACCACAGGACATCACCAAGCAAGACTCCACCCTTCGAAACCTAATCCCTTGCCTTATTTGGGTGGAATATTCTAGTGATGACTTTTCCCTAGTAAATATGGGGGTTTTCAGGTGTGCTCTCTCTCTTGCCTCTTGCTTGCCTCTCTTGCTCCCCTTGTCCTCTTTCTAGCGTGGGAGCTGATATTTGAGGTCTCAGAGCCGKCCTGACCCCCACAATTGAGAAACAGGTATTTTCGTGTTTGTGGGGTTTCTTCGCCGTTTTCATAGTTATAGATATAGCCAACTCCTTTGAACCCAGCTCATCTAGACAGTCTGGCCAGCTGGCGACAGCAAGGAGGGTCTAGGAGGCAAGATGGAAGGGTTAAATTTTYATAAGGTTTAAATAATTTCTATTTCAATACTTTTGAACCTAAAAATTAAGGTTATCATTAGATCAACTGTGAGGACACTCCATTAGAATAGAAGCTTTCATGTGCTGGTAATGAACATTTTTCTTAACTGTATTAAGTTAGGCATCTTATTTAATACCTAAAGTTGGGCTGAGGATGTGGCTCAAGCGGTAGCGYGCTCGCCTGGCATGCATGTGGCCCGAGTTCGATGCTCAGCACTACATACCAACAAAGATGTTGTGTCCGCAGAGAACTAAAAAATAAGTATTAAAAAATTCTCTCTCTCTCTCTCCTCTCTCGCTCTCTCTTTAAAAAAAAAAAAAATACCTAAAGTTAATTCTCAGTGGTTAATTCTCGGTGATGTCCTATGAAAGAAATTTTACAAGTGCTACTTGCTGTTATATGTGCATGTGAATGTACTTACATATGCACACACATACAAATATACATGTTTAAAATTTGACCTAGGTATACCTATGTTTCTGTATTTTGAAAATATCATGGTATTATCTTTCCTGCCAAAGACAAATGACAAATACAATAATTTCCTGTATGACTAAGGATATTTGTCAGAAACATTTAACTAGCAAAATAAATCTGRAAATTCATCGATACATAGCACAGAACTTACTCACAAAAGCTGTTTCACTTTACCAGAAAATAAAAGGGATAATCACTTCAACAGCACAATCAAGCTGGGCTAAATCTAAAAGCAGTCCCTCTTCATGCTGAGTGTCAGAGCCCAAGATTTCTGTTAATGCCAACAATTATCCCACTTTAATTTTGAAGTATTTTAAAGTCGTATAATATTGAATCATTTCATGTCATAAATAAAACATACCTACATATAAAACTCATTATCTCAGAACTAATAGTCAGTTGATAACATTTTATGTCAAATAACACAAACCCTGGCTGAGGTTGTGGCTCAGTGGTAGAGCAGTTGCCTAGCACGTGTGAGGCATTGAGTTTGATCCTCAGCACTGCCTAAAAATAAATAAATAAAATAAAGGCATTGTGTCCAACTATAACTAAAAAATATTAAAAATAAAAAACACAAAACCACCATAGAAGCCAAGCAAGAAGACAGAATGTTAAGGAAAGAAAGAGGGGGAGAGACGGGAGTGGGGGAGGAGACTTTTGATCTGGTAAGGAACAATTAAAAGATAAAACCTTAAGACTATTAAGAACAATAAAAGAAAGAGGCACACACATGGGTGGACCCTTTTGTGAAAGCAGACTGGCACTAAAGAGCAAGAGCTGTAATAGCATCAACACGCTTCAGCATCCTATCTCCCTAGCTGGGGGATTGTTACAAACACATTTGTTCAGTGTTGCTGCTTTATTGATTTCTTCTTGTTTGCCTTTTTAAAAAATAATCAATGCATTCTTTTCAGTATAAAAATAAAATGACATTATAAAACAGTAAGAGAGAAAAGAGAAAAATTACCCACAATTTCATCGCCCTATTTTAACCACTGTTAGTATTCACTATATCATAATGTATTTTAAATTATTTAAATGTCTTTTTTACTTTAACATCATGTTTGCCTTTTAGGCAGGGCATGGTAGTTCAAGTGAGAGTAATAGCTATTAATCGTTACCAGATTTGAGTGTTAACACTGTYTATTCAAATTTCATACCCTTTGCCACATACACAGAGCATATTACATTATTTATAGAAAACATATGACTATGTAAATAAATGCACAGCATTCATATATATTATTTGAAAATGGCATGTCATTCACTGACCTTAATTATTGCACATAAACAGGTTTCCATGTGAACCTAACAGACATGGGATAGAGGGAAATGTCTAAACTTAACACAGCTCAAAAAATGAAAATTAAGGAGCTGAGATTGGAGCTCAGTGGTAGAGCACTGGCCTAGTATGTGTGAGGCACTGGGTTCAATCCTCAGCACCACATAAAGATAAATAAATAAAAGATATTGTCCATCTAAAACTAAAAATTTTTTTTAAAAATAAAGATACTTTTTAAAAAATAAAAATTAAAAAGTCAACTCTAGAAAAATACAAATTCAATAAATAAGAAAACAACAGACAAAAAAAACAAACTCCTGTTTATGAAATGACAAGAAGGATCACACCATAAGACTGCATTAGCTAAATAAAGATCAAAGTTCTAAAACAAATCTAAGCTCTTAAAATTAATGAGATAGTTTGTGGTTCTGTTGCTCTAGGGAAGTGATGTCACTGGAATTATGGACATTATATCTGTTAACTAAAGCAAGGCTAAAAACCATTGTCAACATGAGATTTCTCTGATGTATCTACCAGGTAGATTTAATAAGCCCTAGAATTTCAGAGATCCCATACACTAAGAAAATTTTAAATTCAGAGTTTAAATGTATAGAAATAATAGAAAAGAGATTTTCTATGACACCTAAAGTCATTAGACTAAATTCGTGTTAGCTGGGAATGCATTTGGTGTGATATCATAAACCGGATTATTACGACTACAGTAATTACTCTATTCAAACCAGTACAATTCCTAATGATCAAACTATTGTAAAGTTCTAAGAACCCATGTTCAATTCATTTTCTTAACATTTTTATCAAAGAATTATTCCTGTAATAAAATTATCCAAATCTAATCCAAGATAGAACCAGATCAAGAATCAGACTATCGAATCCCTAGTTGTTGGCCTACTGCCAACTAGCAAGGTGAATTTGGAGAAATTACTAACATTTCTGGGCCTCAGTCCATTTATCTAAAAACATGAAGACCTCAGACTAGATGATATCTGAGGATTTGGGTGTCTCTGATTAAATCCTCAAGAGTATGAATTTATGTAGGGTTTTCTACTCTT